ACCAATAATATAGCCAATATATCAGCAACAATAGAAGCAGGAATTTCTACTGCCTTATAAGGAAGAGGAACAAATTGGTTCATTTTCCTTAAAAAACAGTGGGACCCTGAAGGAACAGCACTTCCTGGATGTGACAAGGGCACAGAAATCAGCATGGTGGCTTAGATTGGACAGGCAAATTGAAGGCTGGGTAGAAAGCCCTCACAAAAGGAAGAAACCAACATGCCTTACTCCCTGCAGTTACCTGTCTGCTACTGGCAGCAAGCAAGGATTGATTTATACTGGAATGGGGAAGCGCATACATTGTCGTAATTGATTTCTCTCTAGTCTTCTATGTGTATTGAGTTGGCAAAGCTTTCAGAGACCCCATCAACTGGAATTTATGTCATGCAGAAGCTAAAATCAATATTTCCAGGACACAGAGACCCTGACGTCCTTCTGACCTCAATTTAAAGCATCGAGGCTTTGATTTTAAATACTGCACTAGTACCCATATCATTCCCTGAGCAATGGAGAGCAGGAGTAACCCTATAAAAGCAGTCTTGGCATTTTGGTGAGCACAGCCTCAGAACTATGCCTGGCAAAACTTCAGGTGGGAATTAGACTTAGGACATCTTGGCCTAAGACACTTGATAGAACTTTAAGCTAAGAGGCCAGACCTGGAGGAATTCTGAGGGAAAGAAGCTGAAATAAAAACTCTGGGATCAACAGGAACTCCCACTTCATATGCAGCAGAGACTGATAAAGGATGTCTGTGCAGGAAACTAGCTGACCTCTGCCTTATTCCCAAATAATGAAAAAAAATTGTACAATCTGTTGGTGAGTGAGTCTGCAGCAACAGGAGATACTTGTGAGAGGAAACCCTACAGAAGTGAAAACACTGTGCAATTCCTCCTGATCTTTAGAATATATAGGATGCCCACATCTGAGCTCGGAGACATGCCAGGTCAGTAGTTTGTAAAGGAAGATCCACTCCATTTAGAGGATCAGAACCTTTTTCACACAGATGTTTTATTGGAACAGTCTCAGAATTAAAAGGGGTTTAAAGTTCCAAAGAGAGGTGGATCTGTGGAGGCAAGGGTTAAAACCATCTTCTAGTCCTCCTGTTCCCTGCACTGCTGTAAAATGAGCACGTGAGTGTATCTTTCTTGTGCAGCTCACAACATACCCCGCGCAAGCCTCGCTGCAAAGCGGCCGCATTTTCAAAATGCAAATGGATCGTGTGACAGAGTGCAGGGAGTTAACAGGTGAGCCTGCACCCTGATCACTCTACCACCACATAGTCCAATTCTGTCCGTGCCCCTCCTCCCCCGAAGATTAACCGGGATATTGCAGTTAATTATCTAATCAGGTATGGTGGGGTAAGGGGCTGGGTGAGCTCAGGACTGTTAAGAAAGGCACAGAAAGGGAGAGGAGCAGGGTTGGCTGAGACCAGAGTCAGAGAGATCTCCAGGGAGGGAGGCTTCTCCTCCTACTGGGCCCTGGGAAAAGGGCTGAAGTTACAAGGGATACTGCAAATAGCATTGCTACACACAACTATAAAGGTGTTGGTGGAGGGAACATGAATGAACAGCATGCTGTGGAGAGCCAGCCAGTGGAGTCTGCACAAGTTTCTGTGGCAAGAAGGCAGGAGAGGGCCATGCCCTGCTACAGATTAAATCACATGAGTTTATTGGCAGGGCTGGCTCCAGTGTTTTTGCTGCCCCAAGTGGCTGGGGGTGGGGTGGGAAGCCGCGATCGGCGGCACTTTGGCGGCAGCTCTACCGCTGCTGCTTCATTCTTCGGCGGCAATTCAGCAGCAGGTCCTTCCCTTCGAGAGGGACTGAGGGACCCGCCGTCGAAGAGCCAGACGTGCCGCCCCTTCCCCTTGGCCGCCCCAAGCACCTGCTTGCTGCGCTGGTGCCTGGAGCCGGCCCTGTTTATTGGACAACTCCTTGCCAGGCTTTGAGTTAGATCTGAGGGCTTGAGCTTTGCAGAGCCATGTTCTGAGGGGGTAGCTGTTTGCAGCACACCTTTCAGTGAAACGTCATGGTACTAAACTTAGGATAAGTGTATTATACTGGGGAGCCTTGCTTTTCAGGACGTATGCACCCTTCCTAGCCGCAGCACCCTCATCCTGCTTCCACTTTAAAGGTGCAGTTTAAGTGTCTCTCTCTTGCAGGGAAGGTTAATGAGCCATTTATGTTCTCTCTCTCACCATTCTTTGACATTATCCTCCGTTTGTTGGCCCCGAAATGGCAAACTTCAGCTTTCCTGTGTCTGGTCTGGCCCCAGCCTATACCCACAAGGCCTTCAATTTCCACAGGAGACATTCCATTAGGAGGGGGAGAGGCTCCTGGTAAGAACTTCAACTTCTTCTGCACGTGAACCCCATTTGCCTCCTCCTTCCATTGTACTTCACGTTTTCTGGGCAGGAACTTCTAAGCAAGGCCTTAATGATAAGCCTCCAGGCCAGGTTCCCTTTGCACTACAACCCATCATCTCCTGTACAGTCCTATAGATTTTAATGTGTCTGGGAACTCCAAAGTTCAGAGTCATGAGAGCAGAAGCCACCCAAGCAATATGGCAGACTAGATCCCGTACAACTGAATGGGAGGCAGCTGGTGCTGCCAAAGTCTTGGCCTGATAAACTAGCACAGTCATCCAAAAAGTGTGGGCATTGTAGCTCTGTAAGACCACGCTACCTGCTCTGCTAATGTGCACAGAGAGCAGTACAGAACACACACTCTCCACTACAAAAAGTACCAAGGAGCAGTTGGTTATTTTCAACCAAGACCTCACTTGTCCCTGCTGTAGGCAAAGACATGAAGGCAGCCTGGCACCAGTGATGCCAATCAGTCCAAGTCAGTTGTAAAAATTGCCCCCAGTCACAAAAACAAACCGTTGCCTTTTCTTCCCATCACCCAAGAGAAATGTGTCAATTCATCTCCATGCTGAAGGGAACAGAGAGAGCACTGGCTATTGCACTGACTAATCCAGGAGGTGAAAAGTATATGAACTAACAGAAAAGGCTTCTAGGCGTGCAATAAATTGATATTTTACTAAATAGAAACTGCAACCAGCATAGGGAAACTCCATTATTTTAATCTCCCTGGGAACAAATGAAACTGATGGAGCTATTTGTTGCAAATAATTTATCTGACCAATTGATGTTGTAAATACATTATTCACAAACCATTTCTTCTCATTCTTTAATCAACTCAGTTGATGGCCAGACAGTCAACAAAAAATGTACTTGACACAAATATTTTCCTCCCATCAGTGAGATGTCACAAATTATTTGTGAATGTTTCCATTCACTTATCAGGATGGATGCGGTTTGTTTGTTTTAGAAAGGAATACTCCAAAGGAGGGACCGATCCTGCAAACAATTTACCCACTGAGCAATTTTTTCTCACTCCTGTAGTCTCACTGGAGTCAGCAGGACTGCTGACATGAAAAGACTCCAAAACATATGTGCAGGCAAGGTGCTTAGTTGTAAAGGACCTGATCCTGACCTCACACTGGTTCCAGCTGCATTGACTTTGTGGGGCTAACTCCTGGTTCACACTGCTGTGAGTGTGGACAGAAAATGTAGGTCACTGTGAATATTACATATTGGATAAGCTCCAGATATTTCCCATTTTTATCGTGACATTTCCCTTTCCCTTCTGCTAATGTAAAAACATACATCAGCTGGAGTGTTGGAGGCTTTTGAGGGGGAAGAGGGGGGTTGTTCTCTATTCTAGCACGGGCACGTTCAACTGTTTCTTACCAAATCTTAGATAATTTAGTGCTGGTGAAATGTGTCCATTTGACATCCCTACCAATCAAAGCCCACGAAACAGGTAGCAGCAGGGCGACTGTCCTGTGCGCTCAGCCAATGTGCCTTAAACCGGTAAAAGGCGGCATACAGACCTCCTTATTCTGCAGTAAGAGTGGCTTATTTCGATGTAGCTTAATGCAGCAAATAAAATGGATTCAGCTAAACTGAAATAAGCAACTCTTACACAGGGGGTTTGCACTGCTTTATAACAAAATCAATTTAAAACCCCAATTTAAAGAAGTGCAACTTCTGGGCAACAAAAGGCAAAAAGCAACAAAAATCAATCAACTCCATAAAGAACCATTCTTGGCAGAATGTACAATTCCTTCCATTGGCAACACCAAGTGAAAGGGATTACCCTTTAGCACTTTTACTGCAAATACCCAAGTCCTAAAATGAGTGGGTGGACATAGGAAACACCTGTTTTGGGGGGGCATATATTTTGCTCTGTAATTAATCGTTCTTCAAAGCTTATGAGAGATGGAGGAAAGCATTTCTTTGCAACAAAAGTCACCTCCTCCCTGAACATGTATAAATGGGTTTGCACTAATAAACTGAAGCAGCATCAGGACGGTAAATTTTTTTTTTTTACGTTATAGTGTATTTGTTATAGTTTATTTATAGGCAGATCACTTCACTATTTACAGTACATGAGCGTAGAGATTCTACAGTCTTTGTGATGTAAACAAGTAACTCCGCAGCAAGGGGAGTCTGGAAAAAGAAGCCAGTTCTGAAGTATTTACACAATTTAAAATAGAACTTTTATACCCACCAGATAGATATAGATAATACATTGAGCGATTTGGTTAAATTATCTATGAAACTATAGAATCTGACAATGTAAAAATACAAGAAAACGTTCTCTCGTTTAGACAGTTAAATCACACTAGAAATAAATCTCTTTTTAAAAATAAGAACAAAGGAAAGGCATAAGAATTCATGCCATTTTTTAAGGTTAAAGTATATTACATAAATAAGGACACAACGGAACATAACTGGGAAAGAAATTAAGTGAAATATAAAAAACCTCTACCAATTTAAAACAAAAAATGCAGTCAACTAATACCTTGATTCTTAATCACAAAGGGATCAATTCTGCTACTTTTACTTACTCCGGGAGTAAGGTGCTACTTACTCAGCATGAGCAGGGTGGCAAAATTGAGCCCTTAGAGTTATTAGCAGTGTCCTTTTTTTAAAAAAAAAGTAGAATTTAGCTTTTATTATAAATAACAAAGCAGATGTGCCCCTTTTTAGGTGAAATTCTTACACCTTTCTCAAGAAATGCATCAATTTAATCCTTCTCGCTCATTCACATACACACACGTACACACACCCGATTATTAGATTAACCTTGTTCAGCTCTCTGATAAATAATGCCCCTTGCAGCGCCACCTGGTGTATTGCAACCAGACTTTCTAAGCCACTACCTGATTACAGAATCTATATAGGAAGAGCAATGGAAACCCGAAAGCTTTACTTGGTTCTGTATTGCTCAAGATTGTCAAGGATGGACTATCACGTCAAGAACAAAAGGTTTTAAAGGCTCAGCTACAGATAATGAGATATTAAGAATTCAACAGATTTCCCACAAGAAAATGAGTACAACAAATAAAGCTGGTTCCGTAAATCTTTCCATGGACCAGTACGGAAATCGAATGCGAACACTGCAACATAGGGACTTGAGCTGCTGCTTACACTTTGTGCAGCTAATGCAGCTCAAAGTTGCACTGAGTAGGAACTGGGGATAGATATTTTCCATGGGCAACATCAGCTCTAAAACCCTGCATTCCCCAGCTGTCCCTCCCCAGTCCAGACATTCAGAAACAATCCTCCTCTCGAGAAGTCATGGGAATGCACTAGATTCTGCCACAAAGAACTGTATTTCATGCAAAACAATGAGATTTAATGGGTCAGTGGATAAGAAAAGGTGACTGGGGCGTTATCATTTACTCTGCATGTCAGGTTTTGTACCTGATAGCAAATGGAAACCATCAAGGATTTTCTGTATATATATCTATCTATATATCTATATTTAAAAAACTAAATGCCCCTTCCTGATCACCTATTATAACACACTATTTTTACTCCCACCCTCATCCAGAAACTAAATTCTTTCCTTATATAAGTCCCTGCTTCCCTCATAGATGCATGGCTTCTTCCGCACGTTGGCATTATTGCTGGCACTATAGTTATTACTGGGGGCGGGAGAGAGAGATACATGGACCCTGAAAAGCAAATGTGGGGAAAAGTGGGAGTGTCCCTTTAGAATGTGGGACTGTGCACAGAGCAGGGTGGAGAAGACAAGGAGGGGTATCGCTGGGGAGCAGTCCCTTCCTTGGCTGGTGTGCACTGTGTCACTCTCTGTATGGGGAGCATCGGTTAATGTGCCATAGCCTCTGCTCAGATGAATGGTGTGACGCCCACGGAGACTCTCTCCCTCTCTGTACAGTGCTGGCTCCGTGGGACTTAAAGCTATTCCTTTCACACTGCTATTTTCCTCTCCTCGAATGGACGCCACGTTCTCAGAATAACTCTCTCCCATCCCAGGGAAAAGATGTGGCTCCAAATTTAGGGTACAATCCTGCAAGATGGGGAGTGCCCCCAACTCTGGGTGACTTCAGTACCTCCCTGGATTGAGCCTTGATCAGTAGCATACTAAGAATCAAACTGCATTCTTTGATTGTGGCTGGCCTCTGTACAATCATTCCCCTAACAAGGCCAGGAAAGGATCCACACTCCATTGGCAAAGAGCATTCCCATCCAGAACACCGTACTATATAACTCCTCCCCTAGAATCTCCTGCTGCAGAGTGTAGCACTGCAAGCCAACGGGAGCTTAAAAAAACCTCAGTCCAAAGGGAAAAATGTTTACATTAGACCTAGTATGAGTGACATAAACAAAGCGAATATTCATGGCTATGCTTCTCAGGTGGAACATCCAACCCTCAGCAGCCACTAAGATAAGCCACAGGTACTGGTCTGAGCTAACCTGCGTAAACTGTGCGTACATTCCAAACCACAGCCCCCTCTGGCTTTACATTCAGCAATACTGGCTTCCCTGCATACGTGGTCACCAGCAGCACCAACAGGAGCTCATGGCCCAGCCCAGGCCATAACCATGGGTGTGTGCGTTTGTGCACCTGAGTGCATATTGCATAAGTTCTGGAGACACTTCTTGCAAAAATAGTTTATAGGCTTCAGGCAACATGAAGACCACTTATTGCATCTCTTCCTATCCTAGGATTGCAGTACTGATTGGCCCTGTGCATCACGGGATCTTCCTTCCTCTTCAAGAGTATCTCATTTGATGCGCTGACGTTCTGCAACTGTCATTGGCCAACACAGGAAGTCCCGCCTCATGAAAGCAATACGAGATTTAAAACTGGGTGTATTGAAATCAAAGTTTGTGAAGCGAGTGAGTGATTCACACTGAAGGAGGCTCCTTCCAGGTACCAGGAAGTTCTCCTTATAGCTGCATTCAACCCTTTCACATTCTTAAAGTTTGATGCATTTTCCATCTCTGACCAAAGCCAGCGTTGTGGGCTTTGATTCATCCTTGTCTTGAGCAAGGAGATGGAAGAATTACACGTATCGGTTTTGATTGATCGTTTTCTGAAAAACATCAGCACAGCACAGGACAGTACTACTCACCCTAAATGTGTCGCTATATACATTCTACAGTAAGCTCTATAGCAATCACATGTAAACATCATTGTTGTGAGGAAATACTAGGACAGAAAAAGGCAAAGCTACAATGAGGCGATTGCCAATAGCAAATGCTCAGTCCAGGTCAGAGTTACTTGTGTCATTTAGATTGGGATGAGGAGCAGAGGAAAAGCCCATAACTCTGTTTTACAGTAGGGACGCAATCAGGTAACTACTCTGGAACAAGACTGAAATAGCATGAGGAATATGACATGTAAGCGCTCAGTAATTAACCCATTAACGAAGGTTTGGGGAAGTGTAGTTCAAATCACCAGGTAGCTCAGAGGTACTTACCATGTAACTGGATATTTTTAGAACCCTGAGCTCCACGTTATAAGACAACTAATCAGATAATTGTCCTGGGGTCACACAGATCCAGATTCTAGCACCCTTCCCCCTTTGAATAGTATCTTACATCACAAGCGATACCATTGGTGTCAATGGAGCACAGTACAATTCAGCATGAATTAGGGTCTTAGAAGAATCTAGTCCCGTGTAATTACTGAGTTTTTGGTCATGTGTGCCCCATATGATGAAATAATACCATTACAGTATGTCAGTGTCATGTACTAGGGGAGACCTTAAGGGAATCTAATCTATCTATTGGCAGAATTTAAGGCTATTATTCTATCTACAGGGGATGGCTCAATCCCTGCGGTCTCACCTGTGTGTGAAAAACAAAATGAAAACGTGGAGGAAGTTTGTGGCGTCAGCAAGGTTGTTTGGTCCCTACTGTTAAACATTGTGTCTTGCTTGTTTTTTCCCTGACTGCCCGGTCTCTCCCCGGCTCAGATGTGGAATGGCTTTAAAGTTTGCAGGTCAACTCTACAGTGAAGCTGCTGACCATACTGACTGCGTGCCTTCTGACTGGCTGACTGGCTTTGCAAGGACCCCCGTGATTGGGGATCTCTGGGAACCAGCGAAAGGCAGGCCAGGGTTAGTGCTACCCAGCAGGGACTGAGGTGACAGCAGCAGGCAAACACCCACCAGGGCCGCAGTGCCTCCATCACTGGTGCTCTGCTAGTCAGGAGCCTGGAGAAAGGAGGAGCACTGGAGAGACTGTGATAGCCAAGCGGGGTCAATAGGGAGATCAGGTTTGCTAACTTCCTAGTGGGACTGGGTAGGTCTATGGCTTATCAGACACCACTCAAAGGAAGGGTAGCATGCTGCGTGGGGCAGAGATGTTCAGCTTAGCTGCCATGCCCTCTAGCTGCCAGTCTGAGCAAAAGAAGAATTTTCTCACCCAGTTCCCCTGCATGTTGTGGAAGTAGCTGTGCACGACGCAACCAGCAAGTCGATTTGCTCCAGCTGAGCCTGCCAATGGATGGAGCTGGGGAGGGCCCAGCAGCATCACACAAAGGCTTTAGCTGATCAACTAAGCGGAGATGTGATCCTCACCTACTGCCAGAGAAATGCACCTGCCTGCGTATGGGGGGATGAACAGGGATGGTTCTTTGGGGGCTTTTAGCATTCACTCTCTCCCAGGCTCTCAAGGCAGGACAAGAGCTTCACTGGGTGGTGCCTGATTCCATCACCAAAGTGGCCTGCAGCGATTAACTCCCATAGTACCCAATTTGATAGTGTCCTAACACTACATCCTTATAACTCCCTTTCCCCCGGTCCCACAAAACTGCACCACTATACAACAGCACCAGCTCCAGACCAGCCAGTGCCAAACCACTAAACTCATCGCTTACCAGCATGTTCAGTCTCAGGCAGCCCGAGATTGATAGCTGGAGACCCAGGACTTCCAGCCACGCAAGCAGGAAGAATGGCTTTTCCAACACACTGCAGTGCCAAACTCCAACCCTATCCTGTTCCAGTTCACCAGGGGCTGGGGCCCGGGCTGGCTCACTCCACAGCTGAAGGGGCAAACTCTGGTCTGGTGATTAATCCAGAACGCCCTCCTGGACTGACCCTCATCTGCTCAGTGGCTAGTGCCTCATTACAGTGCATAGTTAAAAATCAAGGAAGCGATACAATAAATCTGAATTACAGTACATCTGAGCCATAAATACATTTTTAAGTATATACTTTTTTCTTCTATTAAAAAGTAGTTTATAGTCCTGATTCTATTCACAATTAACAGTTTCATCATCACACACTACAGACAAAAAAATGTTATGGTGAACACAGCTGCGACTCCACTCCAGGTGCCTGGGTGGATGTTGGGGGACCCGGGGAAGGCGGGGGGAAGAGAAGGCTCACTCCAAAACAACCAGTCAGAAGCAAGGATACTAATGTGTGGCAGTGGAACATCAACACCATGGGGACTCACAGACAGAAGCAGCTTTGTTCAATGTAAACATCAATTTAAAGGGACAGCAGTCTCTCTCAATCTCTCTCTCTCTCTTTTCATATACTTAATAATTTCTTCGAAAACGTAAACATATTGGAAGTGCCTTGACTGAGGTATTGAGGTGTTCCTCCAAGGTTAAGGCTGTTATCGATGCAGGCTTCGCTGGGCCTCCTGCAGCAAGCTGTCAAAATCCATGGTCTCGTATTTGCTTTTCACTGGAGCTGGGGAGGACTCCTCCACATTGGAATCTGGGAAAGGCAGGGACAGAGTATGAGATAGTCAGGGGTGCAGGACATCTGCCAGGGTCACAAAGTACTGACATCCTGCTTCTCTTTGAAGATTAGTGTAGCTACTTAATCGTACGTAAGACTTATAAAGCACTTCACGTGGGTGGGCTAATTAACCTTAATTAATCTGCACTCTCCCCCATAAGGCAGGAATTTTCCCCATTTAATAAACAGGGAAACCGGGGCACAGAGCAGTGTTCTGACTTGCTCATTCTCACATTATTATTATGATGTGTTAGAATAGGACCTAGAGGCCTCAGCCACTGGGGCCTTTTGTGCTAGGTATTTGTACAAACACATAGTGAGAGACAGTTCCTGCAGCAAAAAGCTTACAGTTTAGATAGGACAGACAAAGGTTGAGAGGGAAAACAGGTGAAGTGATTTGACCAAGTTCACATAGCAAGTCAGTGGCATAGTCAGGAACAGAACCAAGCTCTCCTGAGGCACAGCCACTGCCCCACCCACTAGATCAAACTGGCTCCCAGTGAATTAGTAGCAGCAGCTGGATAGAACTCAGGAATTCCAGGGTTCTAGTCGAATAATCATCAGTCCATGCTGCCTCCTCAAAAAAGTTGGTTTGGGTTTTCTGTTTAATTAGATGTAAATTAGACTGTAACTCTCACTCCCAACAGCAATCTGACCAGCCGCTCCCCATCTAACTGAGCACCCTAACAAATCTGGCACTAGATGAACTCACTTTCTCTTAGCTCTAACCCAGTGGAGTGTGCAATGTACCACCCCCCCTCCGTCTCAGAGAAAAGCTTTCTCTTTTCAACAGAGCAGAGAGGGATTTCTCCATGAAAATCCTGGGCAATTACTTGTTTTCTGTTGTAGGCAGAGCTGGTAGCAGAGCCTATAGTTAAGATTGCTCAGTGCTTCCCATTAAACTGTTTCCAGTTGATTCTAACTTTGCCAAACTTTAGTCTGAAATTTCCCATGCTGGGTGTCTGACTCAAGCTAAATTTTTCGGAAAAGTTTCAGCTAAAACAATCCAGCTATTTCTGAGAATGAGACTCAGGAAAAAATACATTGTTTTGCCCAGGTTAAAAAAATTCTTATGGCTGATTCATTAAGAAGCTCTCACAGCTCCCTGAACTTTGGCAGGGGAGTTACCCTGGGTCAGGGCCATGCTTTTCCCCATCCCTATGGAAATGTGCCCAAATTCAGGCAAGGTCTGAGCCTCTGAAAAATTTCAGTTCAGACATGATCAGTGCAGATTGGTTAGAGTCTGGCAGCTAAGTTCTCTGAAGATTCCATCTGCACTGAGTATCTCTGTTCCCTCGCGGCTCCTCTGTGCCAACCGGCCTGACGGAGCTGCTCCAGCTCAGTGATGGAGGGGCTGAACAGGGCTTTCCTGACAATTGCTCATCCTGGCTGCTACAGGAAACAATTGCTCCTCTGTGGCACCAGGCGACTGAAACTAAGAGAAGGGAAACTCTCCAGTGCAGCATGGAGGAGAAGGAAGAAGCCACCTGACTCGAATGGGAGAGGGGAAAACAGTGGAATAAGAGAAGAGGGGACCAGGAGAGGCTGGGGCAGGACAGAGGCAGAAGGGTCTGTAACCACTAGAACACACTCCCCTATAGAACCTGGACAACCCAGGATTCCTGTGTCTCAACATTCCTTTGCTGCTAGCAAATAACTGTGAAACCCACTGGCAAAGTGCCTGGGTACTGGCAGGCCCACAGGGATGTTAATAGCCTTCTACTGCTACCAGTTATTCCATTAGCCTTAGTGATGGAGGATGTGCTAGGCATCTAAAGCTCCAAACCTGGCTGATCAATATGTCCACAGGATGTTTGTTTTTTAAATTTTTTAAGTTTTTAATCAATATAGGAAATTACTTAAAAAACCCAAACACCTTACATTAAAAGAACATTGAGGCTGCAAAGCCAAGCTCTCAGAAGTTAGGAAAGGCCAGAATTAAAGTTGCCCATGCCCCCTTAATTCAGTCCACTCTTGTGTATGCATTATAAGAAAGTCATTAATTACATGATTACATACTATTTTTTGCACAAGACCCCTGCATCATTCAGTTCATGGGACGGACAGTGGTCAAGGGCGAATGAGGCTGTCGTTTACAGCAGGGTTTCTCAACCCATGAGTCGCAACTCAAAATTGGGTCACCAGTACGTTTTAAAGGGCTGTGTGGCCACTCCAGAGGCTCTGGTCCCGTAGGGCTGGCTTGGCTCAGTTACCTGCTCTGGACGTTTCAACCTCCAGGGTCATAGTGCCGCTCAGGTTTGGCCCAGTTGTCTCTCTGTCATGATGATGGGGGGCCAGCCAGGCCAAATTTGTGGGGTGAATGCAGGGTGGGCTTTGCAGTGCCCCCCCCAGGGCCTCCCTCCCACTGCAGCAGCAGTACCCAACCTCTCCCCCAACCTTTTTACTGACTCTCAGCATGCCATCAACATTCACAAATGGTTCGTGAGCCCCAGCTGGTTGAGAACCTCTGGCCTACAGGACCCCTGCGTCACTCAGTACGGAAGTTGGAAGGTGTGCAGTGACTGAGGCAGGGGACAGAAGGAAGAGACTGGATGGTATCATGATTAAAGCAGTTGAATGCTGGCCTAGAGAACTGGATTCTATCCCTGCCTCTGCCACAGAGTTCCTGTGTGATGTGAGCAAGTCACATACACCAATATTTTCATAAATGGCCACTGTGTGCTCCTCATTTTCTGGGGGCTGGACTGGATACCCTGGGGTCTGATTTACAGACATCCCAAGCACTCACAGCAGCAACTCAGGTAAAGGGGAGCTCTCTTCTGGACCTCTACAGTGCTCTACATGCTAAGTGCTCTGAAAACTCAGGCTCTGGGCATCTCAAGCCCAAATTAATCGACACTTTTGGCTTTAATCTCTGTGCCTCAGTTCCCCACGTAGCAATGCCCCCTGGCCCCTCCCCTCACAGGGGGTCTGTGAAAAAAAATGCATTAAAATTTGTGATGCACTCCACTACTATAGTGATAAGAACCACAGAAATGCCCTGGGGATCTTGATAATTCTGTATCCATGCGGGGTTCAAACGGTGTGTACTAAATAAGACTGGGGCCCATACGCTGAATGAAGAGGAGAAAAAGAAATACTGAAGAACTACTCATTCACCGAATGAGGCAGGGATCCTGTGGTGAAAAGAGTCTGTGATCATGTAATTAAAGATTGTATCATAAGTCGTACACACCGGGGGGCTGAACTAATTTTTGAGTGACTGGCTTTGCAACCTTAATGCTCTTTCAACAACTTTTTGGTTTGGGTTTTTTTGGATTAAACATACACATAAAGTGTGTGGAATCTGGCAGCAAAATGGTTGGTCTGGAACACCTTGAATCAGACATTGCCAGAAGCATCACACAATCATGGGACGGGGGCGTTTCCAGAGAGAATTTTTCCATAAAGACTCAGTTGCTACCTATAACTTTGAAAGATGTGTGATCTAGTGGTTAGTTCCTGGGACTAAGGTTCAGTAGTTCCTGTTTCTGATCCCGACTCTACTACGGATTAACTCTGTGTCCTCGGGCAGGTCATTTTGCCTCTCTGTGCCTCAGTTTCCCAGTATGTGAAACTGGGCTAATAACTATTCACGTCACATGGGAGTTGTGAGGCTTTAATTAATGTCTGTAAAGTGGTTTGAGGTCCCGGGATGAAATGAGTTGGAAAGTGCAATGTGTTATTATAGTTATGCCATGATAATTGGGCACTCTTCACAAAGCAGCTCCCTGGGAAAGCCCTGTCCACAGGCGTATGTGTCTATCTATTCCTGACACTTTTCCCTGCTGGCTGCCACGGACTGGCCTGCAGCTCTGCGGCACTCAGCAGGAGCAGCTGAAGTGTGGGCTATGGGGAACCTTGTTTTTTCCTCCACTCTGAAGACTAAATGCTTCCCCCCCGGCTAGCTTGGGAAAGGCATGCCTTGCAGCCCTGCTGCTGCACTTCGCCTCGTCCTCCCTGCCGTTCAGAGATTTCCCAGCGCTGCTGCACCTCCAAGCTGTGGCAATTAAATGACCCCCTGTGGCACATTACTAAAGGAAACTCCCGGTCAAGGAGAAGTTTGACTGGGGCAATAAATCCAGACCCACGAGGGTTTAATGGGCAAGCAGGTGCCTCCCAGGTGACTTCACCGGGGGACACTGAGCTGGAGAGCTGCAGCGCCCCGTTTAGAGAGGTTTGAGCCTCAGCATTCACAAAGGATCATAAAAACTCCCTCTGCCCTAAGGAAATGGGAGCCTGGCTCAGCAGTGGGGCCCGCCTGCTTTCTCACCCAAGTCAGTGTATCTGGTCCTCAAGTTGCCGAGGCCACCGTAGCTCAGCTGGAACCAGGGCTCGTTCCTCTTCCTCAGCGAGGCGCCATTCTTCAGCGATAAGGCGGCGTGTTCCGAACACCGGTAGGTGATGAAGCCATATTTATTCCCCCTAAGCAGCCAAAGAGAGGAGTCACGAGGTGACTGACCAGGGGGAGGGATGTGATGAGCCTTATCTCCTAAGGGGCTGAGAGCCACATACCGTGTAGCTTGGTTTACAGAGGGCACATGCAGGAATCATACGGTGCATCTCACTTGCACCTGTGGTATCTTAACAGTTCTACAGGCCTCCCACACCCACCGTGGCCCAAGGGGGAATTTACAGACAACTCTGCTTAACCTTGTGAGCCCTGGGATGCGAAGTACACCCAAGGGACTGTGCTGTTTTAATCCCCATTCATCCTATTAAAATATGAGGATGAGTCAGCCAGCCGTGCGGCCTACGTCCGAAAAGCCCTAAGAGCATTCCCACTGCTTTGCCTGGTGTGGGCCTGAGCTCACGCTCGACACACCTGTTATTCCTGGTCAGAACCCGACACTCGATGATCTCCCCAAACACTTCGAAGCGTTTCTTCAGTTCACTGGAGCTCATGCTGCTGGAGAGGTTTCTGATGTACACCACCCGGCCTTCACCCTGCACAAGCACAACCAATGCAGCTCAAGCCCGCCCCCTTACCAGGCCTCCCTGCTGCTCCCCTGGCATTACCCATTGGGGAATCCCATTGCTGGACAATGCCCCCAAGTCTCTGAGCACATGCAATGCAAAGATCTGGCCCCTCTGTGTAAACAGCTCTCTGAGGAGCCTCAAACAGCTGATTTCTTTTCATGCACATTTTCTTTCCTTTATCCTTCTACTGCATCCTTTCCGCCTTTGCAGCGTTCTCCTTGTGGAAGTGTAACTGTAAGAATATTATTGAGAATTCCTGTCTGTGGAACTCAGCTTGTGCTGAGGAAAAATGCCAGAGATGTGTAAGGGTGTATGGGGGTGTACAAGGCAATACAGAAGAGCAAATAATTACTACCACTACACACACACAGGCTTTCTATGTATATCTGTTGCTTTTTATATGCAGTGAGGCTCAGCTCAATAATCTCTTAGCAATTCCAAGTATTCCCCAAGTTCCCAGCCCTAATTGCTAACTCCGAGTGCACTGAAGCTGTGGCCGTAGAGTGCTCTGAATTCCTCCAGTGCCAGGGATTCTGTATATTGCCAGTGTCAATTGCTTGCTTTTTATCTTTTCCCCATGCCCTTGTTTAAAATTGGCCCCACCCCCAGGAATGCCAGAGCCAGGGCCAATACACTCCACCGTCTCCTTTCTGGAGTGGGAGATGAATTGCGGGGCCGTGAATTGCTTTGTCCCAAGATTTAAATGGGCTTCAGCAGGATGAAGCCATCTGCTCCCACTGGAAGTCCCGCTGCTTCTGCCGAGTTCAGCACTCCCCCCGCGCCCCCCCACCCCTAAGCCTGCAGGTCACTTACAATGGCCTTGTCACGTCTCTTCTCAATGTGGTCCTGGCTCGTGTTTCCCCCTTGACACTGCTCGCTGTATTCACATCTGTGTGTAAGCAAGCAAGAGAGAGAGGAGATCAGTGCGGAGCAGGGATCCTGCAGGGGGAGCTCTGGCAGTCAAAAGGAAGTGGAGGCACAATCAAGTTGACGTGTCTGGCACAAGCTTTTAAAAAATCTCTAACTCAGGAGACTCCTGGTGAGCAGGCTCCACTGATGCTGGGTGTGGATCCTCCAGAGAAGAGCCTGGCTTCCCAAACCAAGCCAAGCCTCTTTAGGCCTGGTTCTGGGACTTAAGCCGCCAGGGAAATCATTCTTTACAGATACTTGATGTGGCTCCCTATCTCCTCCTGCCTCCTTGTAGCTCTCCCCTTCCCAAGGAGCTCCTGGCTCCTCCCCAATTCTGGCTGTGATCTTCCTCCTTGTGCCACCAGAGAAACCCACCCTCAGACAAGTCAAGCATTGCCTGACTGACCAGTGTCGAGCAGCCACCGGTGTATTATGACTTACTTTTAATGAACTAAAATAAAGGACGTTGGACTCAGCACACGGAGGCGATTTCATCAGAACTCTCCCCTGTTGGGCTGGACGGTTGGAAGGGCCTCAGATCGATATGAAGTACATGCCATGCGCAGACTAGGTGATCTGCACACCCATGTTCTGTGGCAGAGGCACCAGCTTTGTGATTTGCCAGCGGGTGCTCGACCACCACTCCACCTCTTTCCCCAAGACCCCACCTCTGCCCTGCGTCTTCCTACCCCTGCTCTGCTTCTTCCCGTGCCCACTCCATCCCCATTCCGCCCCCTCCACTGAATGCACCCCACTCCCACTCTTCCCACTCCCTGCCAGCGCCTCCTGCATGCCGCTGCACAGCTGATCGTGGCAGGCGGGAGGCGCTGGGAGGGAGAGGGAGGAGCTGATCGCCAGGGCCTACTGGTGGGCGGGAGGCACTGTGGGGGAGGGGGAGAAGCTGATCCGCGGAGCTGCTGGTGGGTGCTGAGCACCCACTATTTTTTTTCCCTGGGTGCTCCAGCCCCGGAGCACCCACAGAGTCGGCGCCTATGCTCTGTGGAGGTGTTCAGTGTTAACTCTGCACTGTTCAGTGTGTCAGGCCTGACACCTGATGCTTAACACCTGAGTGGATCTTTGGGGTTGAATGCTTGGATGTATCCCTGGGAATGGGGGGGGACAACCGTCCGTGTGTTCATCACACTGACACAAGAACATCACTTGGCACAGTCTCTAGCACCGGCTTTTTGTCTTGGCATCTCACAGTGCTTCACACAAATTTATCCTCATTTGACAGATGGAGAAAATGCGGCCCAGAGAGATGGAGAAATGACTTGCTCAAGGTCACACAAGGATTTGGTGGCAGAGCCCAGGCCAGGACTCTGTTCACCTGCCTCTCTTATACCCCCAGTATAAACCCCCAAGAAATTATTTTGCTTGAGATGTGCTTGCAGGCTGGGACTCATCAGTCCCACCCTTCCCCTCCTGCCAGCCGCCCAACTATACCTGAAAGTCCGTCTGTTTGCTGGAGACCTGGACCTGCAGCATGAAGACCCAGAACTGGATCTGCTCCGGGAACAGTGGTGCAAACTGGACCTGGCAAGTGGGTTCCTGCGCAATGGACGCTCGCAATGTTCTTCCTCTTCCTCCTCCTCCACGGGGGAGCTGCTCTCACTGCAGCTATCTTCAAAGACAGTGTCATACTCAGGGGTCTTGCAGAAGGCCGTGTCCTCGTCTTCAAGGGCACTGTCCAGGAAGCCGAAGTGCTTGGTTAAGCTGGCTCTGATCTCCTGGTCTCTGAGCTGTTTGCTGCACTCCTTCCACAGGGCCTCATCCTTTCCCGACCCCTGATAGTGTGCATCCGGCACTCTTCGCTTGTGCTCACCCTCCACGTGGCTCTGGGGCTCCCAGGATTTCAGCACTTTCCTCTGGAGCGTGGCCTCAGGTTTCAGCACCTGGCAGTAGTCATGGTCCCCAAAAGAGCGAGAAAATGGCCGCTTCAGCAGCCCCTGCTGCTCCGAGGAGGAAGGGCGCACGGCAGCTCGGCTCAGGTGTGCGTAAAGCTCTGTTCGCTCTGGGTGCTTCTTCATGAGTTTCCTGGAGGCTGCTACGTCGACTGCCACTGCTGAGGTTCTTGGCCCTGGGATGGAGGAGGTGATGGTGGCTTCCTCCTTCGCTGACCCATGGGGAATGTCCGGCTTATACAGGTCCTCCTCAGCAGGCTTGTACGGCGGAGTAGTAGGCGGTGTGAGACCTTGACCCCCCACACAACAAACCACAAGAATGAAACTCTTTGAGCAGAGCTTTCCCACTATTACCACAACTGGTCATGGCAGGAGGAGCTAGGTCTGGGTGACGCTATGGAGAGCCATCAATCCTCTACTCTGTGGAGAGGGGCTCACTGCTAGTTACTGCTGGCCTCCTGTCTTCAGAAGGGGGTCATTGCAACACCACAGTGGTTTGCAGCTAGAGGGGCCCACAAGATCCCCTTCCTGCCTCCTCCTCAAAACACATTGGTCAGAAAGGCCTTTGACTGGATTGTCAAAGGAGCTGGGCACCCATGTGGCAGCTGAGGTCAGCAGGCACTCTGCACCTCTGAAAATTAGCCCCTACACTTGTTACAGCATACATTTAGCCTGTAGTTGTTGCGTATCATTACATCTAGATAGCCAAGCAGATTTGGACCTGGGCAGTGCTTGGAAGGGAGACCTCCCTGGCAAATGCCCTCAACAACAGACCAGTTGTGAGCCCAGTTCACATAGTCCTTGTCAATCCTTTAGCAATTTTTGGAAAAGCAAGGATTTGGGGTCTAATCCAACCCCCCCTAAAGTCAGTGGTAATGCTCCCATTAACAGTTAACTTTATCCTTGGGGTTCTGCCCAAATTCAAGTAGAGAATGTACAATTTGGCTCCTTATATTTTCCATAGTTTCAGTTCAATACAGGATTCCTCCTCACTTCCTGGATGGATCTGTTGTGCGGTGTTGCTGTGCACCGTTGAACAGCTGCTATGATCCACCCCAGAGGTAGTTGCATTTCAGTGGTATCTGAATTGCTTAAATGAGTAGTTGTAAAGTGCTGAGGGATCCTTTCAGATGAAAGGCACTATAGAAATGTAGGTTTTTATTACTAAAAATCCATTATATTTACACAGTTATAATAATTCCTCAGATTACCACAACCCCCACCACACCTAGAAGCGGTTAGCGCCAGACTATTTCACACTGCATTTTTGGTATTGTTTCCCCTCACCTTTCAACGTACACAGAGAGAATCCCAACAACAAAGGAAGGGAGCACTGCCTCTTTACATGAGTGGCTTACCTGCAGTCCCACACAGCTCTACAGTCAGCACCTGCTCGAAGTTCCTCTTCCCAAATGTAGGATCACTGGAGAGGAGGAGAACATTAGAGGAGCAGGGAGGTGTTTATATGAACATCAGAGACTGAGAGTACTGCTGAAAGAGCAGCACAGAGACCACAACCAAAGGGGGAACAGGAAGAGGAGATGTCACCCATACAGGATGCGTACTGTGTCCCTCTCCGACTCTCTGTGGCATCAGGGCTAGTACATGATGGAGTGAGGGTGGGGGGGTCGGGTCAAAATCCAAGCTCCTGAAGCATTTCCATTTTCCCTCCCAGCTGAGGCAGAGGAACAGGCAGCTAGAGAGTCACTCCAGCAGAAATGTATCCCTCCCAGCCAGAGCTCCAATTCCTTATTTCCAGGGAAAGGAGCCAAAGAAGTGCCCCCACTATCTTCTCTCCAGCATAGGACACTTCTAAGGCTTTCAGCAGAGAAATCCATAGGCATAACCTGCCCTGAATTTGAGGGCCTGGAGCTATGCTATCACTTGCATTTAGGATCCCAGTTCAAGACACTATGCTTCAAACACATGCCACAGCTAGTCAAACGTCCCCTCCCTGCTGCACGTCCTCTTTGCCTGGTTGGTAACAGTCCTGAAGTTTTGCCTGGCTGGCTATTTTAACATTGAAATTTAAAATGCGTGTCCATCCAGGCAAAACTACAGGCCACCTGGCAGTCATGCTGGCCCAGACTGCCGCCGGGTTGGGTTTAAATTGCTGGTAAGTATTTTGTTTTACACTTACGTTTGTGCCAAGGACAGCGTGAGACACGTGGGTGTTTCTGAAAGACACGGAGAGAAGCAGAATTACTGAACATGCTGCATTCCCTTCAGACTGATTGATTGCATCACACCCAGAAAGAGGAGGCAGCGTGGGCTAGCAGATTAGGTGTGGGCTTGGGCACCAGGAGCTCCGAGTTCTGGACCTAGCTTGGTCATGGCTTGCTGTGTGGCCTAGGCAAGTGACTTTGCCTCTCTGTAATTTGGTTTCCCCATCTACCAAACTGGATAATACCTGCCTACGTTGTGAGGGTTAATCACATAATGTTTGTAAAGCGCTTTCAACATGCACATGCTAAGGTGCTTATATGAATTGCTTATAAGGTGCTAATAATTAATAGTATTCCAAGGGACTCCAGGGGGAGCTCCGGCCCGCTCCTCAGCTGGAGGGATAGTATTCTATAGGATGAGAAAATGGGGAGATCCTTCGTGGGTGGTTTTGCAGTGATTCACTCAGTAGACAGTGTCTTTGGATGAACACATACTACTTGACACTTATTTTGTGCTTTCCAGCCATAGATCAACGTACTTCACAAAGGAGGAGCTGTGTCCTTACCCCATTTTAAAGATGGAAAAACTGAGGCACAGAGAGGAGAAGCAGCTTGCCCAAGGTCACAGTCTCCCAGCCCTCGCCCTGCCCACTGGACTATGCACCCCACAAGTTGCACAGAAAAAACCCAACAGCACTGGAGAAGTTTGGTGTTTGCCCCACTGGCTTTGGGGTCTGCAGTGCTCGGCCATTCACGGGCACATGCACAAATGTTTCCTACGTCAGCCAGGCAGTAGCACTGCTACAGTGACTCACTGCCCAGCGAGCGCACTGGATCTGACATGCAGGGCTAGTGCTTAGAACACCGCAGACCAGCTCAGCCTCTGCTAAGCCCCTCATGCACTGACGGCCTGGGAAGAAGGGAGTCAGCCGGGGTTCCTTTGAGCATTAGTTTTGGCAATGCCAGGTCAATGCTGGGGTTAATTCACTTCTAGGCCCCTGCACACTCTCTCCTCCTTACCTGTTTCATGCAATGGGGTGCAGTGCTGGCTCTCATCCACCTCACATCCTTCCCCCTCAACCGGGCTCCCCAGAGGGGGGGTCTGGGTCTCTGGGTGGTTTTGACATCTGCTGTCCCCCTCGTCTGTGCCACCCACCTCCACCTCTGCCGCTGGCTCTTCTGCATCGAAGTTCTCCAGGGCTGGGCACAATGCGGGCTCCCGGGAGGTGAGAGCATCCTTCGCCCGGCTCTCTGCTGCCTCTCTGGGGACAGATGGCTCTGGGGGAGGCTCATCAAGAAATGACAGCCAGTGGCCAAGCTCAGGGTTGAGTCTCTTGGAGCGCCGGACAGCATAAATAGTGCTCTCCTGCTTACGTCCCACTTTCCCTGAGGTTTGCTGGGCTGGGAGAGCCACATGATTCCCAGTGGCATCCTCTGGGCTGCTGGTCTCTCTCCTGGCTTCGGACTCGGCCTGGGGGCTTTGCCTTAGCTCTGCTTTCTCCAGAGGCATTTTGGCTCTGGACTGATATCTCCCAGGAGAGCCCTCAGCCTCCTGAGCAGATGCTCCAGGAGACTTGGAGCCATGAGGCCTGACCAAGGAAGCGTACACAGGTTTGGCCAATCGGTACGGCTTGCTCACGTCACACAGCAGGTCCCGGGCCAGTAGCTCCTTCAGGATGGAGAACTCAGGCCATGTGGTTCTAGGCTTCTTGCAGCTGGCTGTTGTTTGCAAGGTGCAGGCTGTCCGGCTCTCCTGGCTGCAAAGGGGAGGTATCTGCAAAGGGTAGTCTGGCTTTGCTTTCTTGTAAGGGCTGTTACAGTGCTGGTGCTTCACATCTGCAGGGTCTCTGAGAGGCAGCTTCCTCGGAGGAAGACAGTAGGTATGCATGTAGCGGATGAGCTTCACTACTGTGTGCATGGCCTTCTCGCTGGCCAATTGATCGCTGGTGTCGTCCTTGGAGGAGCAAGGTGTCACCGGGACCTCACTGGAGCTCAGCGAGTCTTCGCTCGAGTCGCTGTCGTCTCCACTGTGCGCAGAGTGACTCAGAGGGGAGCGGCTGCTGCTGCCTTGGTGCTCGTCCGGCGGCCAGGTGGCTTTGGTCTGTGGGCAGCGTGTGGTGGAGGTGAGGTGCTTGTGCAGCTCTGTGCAGCTCCGACTCTGAGCCTGGAGAGAGCTCAACTTTCTGTCCCGGGGACCCTCCGCCTTCAGAGACAGAAGAGAGATGCCCCAGTGAGAACAGACTAAGCCCCCAAGCCCTAAAATGAGGCTGTGTAACTACGGCACCACAGGACTCCCCACCTGCAGAAATACACTCTGTGGGAACAACAAACCCACTAGGGACACGTGTGCCACGTCCAGTTATTTCACTGAACAATGCTATGGGGGAAATAGACCCTGGGCCCATTTTCTCACCCAGCGGAGTAAGGAAGTGGGCCCTCTCTGGGGAGCAGAGCCTGTTTCTGAGCCCTCGGTGTGATGAGCCACTGTTTGCACTGCCTGGTTACATGGACAGAGCAGTTGCTTCACTGAACGTCTTTAGAACCTGTCTAGCACGGAGTGACAGCAGGACCTCCCTAACGGCACAGAGCTGCCAGCCTCGGCTCTCAGCAAAGTCTCCACTGCAGAGACTGGAGCGAGTTCCCATGTTCCCAGATTTAGACAGTATACAACATTTATTAGGACATTTTGAACAATTATAAATAATTAACCTGCGCTGTCCCTGTGATAATGGAAGGGCCGAGGATACTTGGCGCTCCCTGTATTATCCTTGCTCTAAATGCAGCCAATTGCAGTGGCTTCCCATCCTCTCTGCCCCGCTCACACCCAGTCATGCACTGCCATTAGGCAGGCTCCACTCTGCCTGGGTTCACAAGGCCACTTTGAAACAAGCGCTGAGTAGTTTTAGTGAGAACAGCTCTCCAGGCCCAGGCCCTTCAGAACATGGTAAGCGCAGAGTTACTAAAGCAGGCTCAGTCATCCCTGCAAAGAATCGGCAAACAATGCAGTGTTTCAGGGTTGGTTTGTTAGCAGTGAAGGAAGGCGCATCCGGCCTTGGTAGTCTACTGGGATCTGTCCTCAAGGTGGTTATGGAGATCTCTGCCCTAGGTATGTCTGCTTCATCACAGCCAGTTGAGTGGGCCGAATCACAGCTCATTACATCTCAGTGGAGACACGTGAATGTTTAATAGCAATGGTTCCTTCATCTGCTGCCTGGGCCCTTACTGTTGCTGGGTCTGATCCCTGAGCTGAGACCATGGGTCGGGCAAGGCAGCGCAGCAAGGACCTTCTCCTAGCCTCTCCTCTTTGGGGAGAGTGGATGAAGGTTGCTTTCCTTCTTTGAAACAGACTGAGATGATGAACAGCCTCTGAGAAGATTATGAGAACTGGCTGCGAACGGATGAGGAAACAGACTTGGCCTAAGAGAGTATGTCTACACTACAGCTGTGAGGCGTGATTTCCAGCCCAGGCAGACAGACTTGCACTAGCTCCACTCGAACTAGTGCACTAAAAAGAGCAGCGTGGACGTTGCGGCACCAGCGGCAGTTTGGATTGGTTGCTTGAATCCAAGCCCACCCAACCCCCTGATTCTGAGCTCAGGCAGCCAGCCTGAGCCACCGCCCACATCACAATTTTTTACCATGCTCGCTCAAGCTGAGCAAGTACAAGTCTGTCGGCCCATGCTGGGAATGACACCTCCCAGCTGCAGTGCAGACATGCCCATAGTGCCTTGGTCGCAATTCATCATGGTCACCCGCACTAGCCTGCCCATCTTGTAAACCACAGGCTGTTCGTTAGCCAGAGAACTGGGGGGGCTTAGTGTGACGGAATGCACCCCTGTATTCACACCTTGTACACTACTGTAATCGTCTTTGTACAAAATATGCCTTGTAAGGTATCATTTGAAAACTAGTAACTTGCTGGTCAATAGTACCATGGTGAAATGTGTGTAGCAATTATATGCAAAGTTATGAGTTCCCCCTGAATGCTGACAGTGGCACATGTTCAAACTCAGGTAGCCCTGATTAGACAAAACTTGTCAAGCAGGCCTATCTTAAACAAAGGAATGTGTGTTTATCTCAATTTAAATATGAAGTCTTGAGACAGGAGACCAGGCAAATCCGCAGTTTAGCACAGCCCCTCTTTTGTCTGGACTGCACCACAGAATGTCATATCTAGTCAGACACAGGGCAAACCACAGCCTTCTGGAGCGCCTCTCTGGATGAGGGGGCTCCATCTTCACAGCCCCTCCATGCTTGACTTTTTTGTTGAGCTGCCCATCACTGACATGGTGGTCTCTGTGATCTCAACGCACTGAGCAGCCCGCTCCAAAATTTATTTAATTCAAGCTGCCCAAGAGCCAGCAGATACAACTGACCTGGGCTGAATTTGCACCAGCTACCTAGAAGAGAAAGGTGCTGGGATACAGAGCCTACTTCCTGCACCATTCAGGCTCTCTGGATATCCCTCACCCTGCAGCAGGGCTAGGATGGCAGCTGAACCCCTAAAGCATCCACTTGACTCCAGAGGGATGACTAGCATCTCTCGTCACCGACTCAGTCCAACCGTAGAACAAGAGACTGACTGAGCCCAACTATGTCTGCAGTGGTGGTGTAGCTGTCAGCCCCAGGATATTTGAGAGACAAGATGGGTGAGGTAATATTTTTTATTGGACCAACTTCTCTTGCTGAGAGAGACGAGCTTTCAAGCTATAGCAAGGAAGAGCTCTGTGTAGCTTGAAAGCTTGTCTCGCTCACCAACAGAAGTTGGTCTGATAAAAGATATTACCTCACCCTCCTCGTCTCTCTGAGCCCAGGTAACACATTCACATGCTGTGGTTGCTCCGCTTGGGCCTCTGAGCAGAGTCAGTTCTCACCCTTCAGTTATGTGGCAGAAAATAGTGCAGGTACTATGGAAACCTATTAGTTAGATAGGGAGGTTACATGGAGGCAGTTACATGGATTCCATCAGACACAGCTGATCTCTCTCTAGCTGGTGTCTGCGACAACACTAGTGCTTTCTTTTTAGAACAGTCCTTCCCCCATTGCAGCTGATATGGAACAATGCCCTGGCAGATTTTTTCTGCCTTTCCCAGACAATCTAAGTCCACCTATCTAATGCACTGCACAATTTCCATTATCTGAATGGAAAATCTTTGATGGTGGCTTGTGTTGGATTTCAGGGGATTAGCTTAAATGATTGGTTTGGGCTCTGCAATTTTGCATGCAGCTCTCCCCAGGATAAGTCGACTCAACCAAGAGCAAGTTCTACTATAATTGATGGGAAGGGGGGATTTTATAAATCAGAACTCCAAAGAACTGACTTCAATGAAACTGTGAGAGGCTTTCACCCTTAGCCCCACTGCAAACAAGCTGCTCCAAATGCACAGATGGAGTAGTTAGGGTCTCTCCAGATCCCTTCGGGGTTAGTCTGTCTCAATGTGGACTGTCTATTTCCCCATGCACAGCACTTTCCCTTCAGATCATGACACTCTTGGGCCAAGTCTGTTTT